TCAACTAATATTATTATATTTCAAGTAGTTATATGACATAAGTTATAAAAACTAATATAATATAACACATGTAAGTCATAAGTAACACATATCATTCTAAAATATATAGTACTATATTTTTTTTTTGTAAAAAAGTAAACTAAATTTAATATAATTTTCTCATTAATTTTAAAATTTAAGAATAATTTTTTAACAAGCACCCGTGTAATACACGGGTATTGTACTAGTTTTATTATAATTTGAAACAAATGCATCATTTTCATAATAAAATTACCCTATTTTTAGAGGTGAAATCCATAATCCCCCTATATATTAATCCAGAACGCGTTGAGCCTACGTGGCTGCTTCTGGTGCTTCGGAATGTTATGTGGCAAAATTACATGCTTCGTTATTAGGCTTAGGTAAATTTTAATTTAATTTCAAACCAAAAATAATTAGGTTCGGATTACCATAAATATGTTGATTATTTATGGTCATGTTAAATGTATTAATTGCATTTTAATATCATTCCTTATTATAATTATTGAATTGTATATATATTTTAAAAGTTAATTACTTTTGTATTTTTTATCAGTTTTACATATGTAATATATCAAATTAATCTTCTTTTGATGAGTTTCGATTTAACATCCATATTGTATGTATAAAAAAATAATTTATATTTATCTTTATAACAATAATAAAATTATTTTTAATATTAATTAGAAAAATAAAATTATTATCAACTAATATATTTATAATTCAAGTAGTTATATGATATAAGTTATAAAAACTAATATAATATAACACATGTAAGTCATAAGTAACACATAATAATATATTTTTTTGTAAAAAAGTAAACTAAATTTAATATAGTTTTCTCATTAATTTTAAATTAAAATATATTTTTTAACAAGCACCCGTGTAATACACGGGTATTGTACTATCCCCCTATATATTAATCCAGAACGCGTTGAGCCTACGTGGCTGCTTCTGGTGCTTCGGAATCTTATGTGGCAAAATTACATGCTTTGTTATTAGGCTTGGGTAAATTTTAATTTAATTTCAAACCAAAAATAATTAGGTTCGGATTACCATAAATATGTTGATTATTTATGGTCATGTTAAATGTATTAATTGCATTTTAATATCATTCCTTATTATAATTATTGAATTGTATATATATTTTAAAAGTTAATTACTTTTGTATTTTTTATCAGTTTTACATATGTAATATATCAAATTAATCTTCTTTTGATGAACTTCGATTTAACATCCATATTGTATGTATAAAAAAATAATTTATATTTATCTTTATAACAATAATAAAATTATTTTTAATATTAAGAAAAATAAAATTATTATCAACTAATATATTTATAATTCAAGTAGTTATATGATATAAGTTATAAAAACTAATATAATATAACACCTGTAAGTCATAAGTAACACATAATAATATATTTTCTTGTAAAAAAGTAAACTAAATTTAATATAGTTTTCTCATTAATTTTAAATTTAAATATATTTTTTAACAAGCACCCGTGTAATACACGGGTATTGTACTAGTAAGAAAAAAATATAGATAATATTAAACGAAAACAATTTAAGAATATCATTTATAACGATATGGTATGAACTATGAACATATCAATAATTTTTCAAGGTGTGCATCAAAACCACAACATTGTATTTTATATACTAAAACATTATTTATATTTTTTTTTTTTTGGTACAAGGACCTTCCGGTTTTCGGATCCACGGAGGAACTGACTAATCCAGAATCGAGCTGGGTAAGACCACAAGGGCGGCAAAGCTCTCCCTCAAGAGTTTTAACACTACTGCATTTATTATGTTTTTGTTATTTTTTTTTCAAAATTAACCATATTCTTAGGCTTTTAGCATATTCTCATTTGTCTCAAGTGATAGCCTAAACAAAATCCTATCATTGCATTTTAACCATATTCTCAAATAAAATTTTATAATTATATTTTAAATGATCTATATGATTCTTTTCATATACCACTTGCAATCTTTAGAAATTTTTTATCACAACAAATTTATATATGATATCTAAAAGGTAGTGATTTTTTATCACAACAAATTTATATATGATATCTAAAAGGTAATAAAAAATCTCTACGGTAATATATGAATCATTGACTCACTACTAAAGTAAAATTATTAAGATTCTAAATTTTTGTTGATAATCATGCTATTTTCTTTATTTTATCGATCAGATATTCCGATCAAATTCTAATTTTTTTTTAAACATAAAAAATTAACAAAATCGAGATATAACATCAAAATTATTCCGATTTTACAGTCTCATTTTACTAACTCACAGTAAAAAAGTGCAAATCGTCTGATTACATAACATATCTATTAAGCTCTGAAATTTTTTATTTTGATTTAAGGTTGCCGTCCCTATTTGGCTAAAATGCTTCAATGAATCATAAGAAAATGTATCAATTGGGTGATTATAGTACGAATCTATCAAGATCTGTAATCTTTGTTAAGAATTTATGATTTTTTTATTTTTTTCTATAAAACCGTATTTTCAGCTAATTTCATAAGTCGATTGATATTTTATTGTCGTCCCTATTTTGCTAACATACATCAATGAATCATAAGAAAATGGTTCAATAGGGCGATTATAGAACGGATCTATCGAGATATGTAATGTTTGTTGAGAATATATAATTCCTTTTTAAAAAATCATGTTTTCAATTGATTCAGAAGTAGATTAGATATAAAACTTATTTTAGTGTTTGTTTTACCATTTTCGTTCAAAAATTTGAAATTTCTATATAAATTTGATGTATTTTGCTCAAAACATAGATTTGTTTTTGCAAACAATGAACGAATATTGTTATATTAATGATATTCTTATGGTTTCTGAAGAATATACATGTTCGGTTGCAACAGTCTATTTGCATATACATATGACCATGTGTCCGACTTTCAAATTAAAAAAAAAAAAAGATTTTTAAGCACACCTCATTTCTACTTGCAATTTTGTTAAAATAAGGTTTTAATATTCATTTATGTTATTTATTAAATATTTTGCTTTAAATTGAACAGAGGTGAAAGCAGTAAAAAAGAAAATAAAAAAAGCAACAAAAAAGTAAGTAAAAAAAATATCATTCTTGAATTTTGTAGGGAATAAATGGAAAGTACAATTACAACAAAAACCACGACTCAAGAGGTCAATTAGAAAACCAAAAAAAAAAAAGCAAAAAAAAGTTCAATAAGATCAGATTTTTTTCAGCCAAGCAGGTAAAAAAAACTGAAATATATAACCAATATAAATAATAAAAGGTCATTATATACATTTCTAAACTTTTCGAGTAAATAAGAGATATCTCCCCTATATATAATTCCCGAATG